TTTAAGGCATTGCACCATAACATGCTTGCCAATCATCTATGGAGCTTCTCAGTCATCCAGGTCATGGTTGTCCCAAAGGTGCTTTCTCTAAAGGCAACTGGACTTTCTTGGTCTGTCCTTGAAGATGTTTCTCTTCTCATCCAAGAAGCTTCTTCAGTTCAGCTCAGTTCAGTGAACTGAAGAAGCTTCTTGAATGAGAAGAGAAACATCTTCAAGGACAGACCAAGAAAGTCCAGTTGCCTTTAGAAAAAACACCTTTGGGACAACCATGACCTGGATGACTGAGAAGCTCCATAGATGATTGGCAAGCATGTTATGGTGCAATGCCTTAAATTCTTGAATGGGCCACAATGAGTAATGATGGTTGAAGATGTCTGGCTGATTGTCCAACAATCTGTACTATTTTTCTCCATGCAGTGTTGGCAAAGTTAGTCAAGGCCTATGTGGATACTATCTCTAGTGGGAACGTTCCCTGCCTGGAGAATGAAATCTTGGCCTTGGCGGAGATTGAGAACAGGGCAGCCATGCAGGAAGCTGTTGCTTGCTATGAGCAACTGATGGAGCAAAGTGTGGAGCTACCCACTGAGACTCTCCAGGAACTTCTGGATGTACACAAAAATTGTGAGGAACAAGCCGTCAAGAAGTTCTTGGCTCGTTCCTTTAAGGATGAGAAACAACAGTTCCAGCTTGAACTCATGGTAGGTAATAATAAGACAGCAACCTTCATAGAGGATATTTGTTTATTTGTGTCAGAAGCATCACAATTAAAATAAGGCATACTATACCACATAAAAATTAAAAAATAGGATACAAGAATAAAATATGTGCGAATTAAATAGATCTTGACCAAAAACTAGCCACATTAATTGTGTTTTGTCACACTGACATGATGTCCTCAAATGTGTACTGATGAGGACACGAAGGGCAGATATACATCTGTGAGGCTGTCTGCATGTCACCACAATCGCAAAGTTCAAAGGCCAGGAAGGACGGGGTAAAATAGCCTCATTTGTCCAGAGTGTCTCTGGATCTTGCTAGATCCGTGTGAAGTTTATTCAAGGTTTCCATCCTGCTCAACTTTCTCCAGACCCAGGTGCCAGATCCAATCATCCTATGTTGGTTCTTGTAGCTTTCCATAGGTCCTCTAGTCATAGACAGTATTAAAGGCTTATGGGTCTGTGGGATCTGGTATCCTGGCCTCCATATCTTCTGTATAAGAATGGGTACGTAGACAATATTTAAGGCCCNAACCCTGAGCCGGTGAGATTTGAACCGCTGAACTGCTGATCTAGCAGTAGCCTGCAGTGCTGCATTTAACCACTGCGCCACCTCGGCTCTTAGAATTAATACTCAACAGTCAATATTAAGAAAAGAATTTGGCAAATAAATAAAAATACTGAAACTATCATTTCAAATAAATAGCTTTTAGGAACCAATCAAGTCATATGCCTTACTTGACTATATCTGGCTTTATGGTAGAGGCAGAACTAGGCTTGTCCCAGATGTTTTCTTTTGATGTCAGCCTTATCAGGTAGACCAGAGTAAGAATCAGATACTACTTTTATTAGAACAGCTAGAGTTACAACATCTTGACAATCTGATTGTGCTTCCATTCCTCCCTCATTTGTCTTCTCAAGAATTGAGTTGGGAGCTATCCAACGTATTTTTGCAGTCTCCTTTACTGGCCTGGTCAAAGTTTCATTTATTTGACGGTTCTTCTCTCCATCCTTCAATACCATCCTCTTTATTAATTGTACAAGTTTATTGTTCGATTCCTAAATGGGGCCAACAGTTTTGTGACGGAGCTGTATCAAGACAAAGTCTTCCTTCACTCCTGGAGATACAGATGACACTTCTGAATTTGTTGGCTTTTTCCCAACATTTGTCTGGACTGTGCAAGATTTCACACTGCAGCTGCAACAGAATGGGAAATCTATCACAGAGGATGAATATCTCGAACATGCTCTGAAATTAAAAAAGGTACTGATGGCAAATTCAGTGTGAAGATCTATGTGGTCATTTGAATAAGGAATAGGAGCCACCGGGACTAAATTGTTTAGGGAGGATAGACCTCAAGAAGAAAGAGAGACACCAAAGGTCTTTGATCTAGAATGAAGGCTCCAGACTAGAAATCAGGAAATTATAGGTTGCATCAATGCCTTAGGTATGAAAGTCATCTGGGTGCTTTGGACTAATTACTAGACATCCTAATAATAGAAAGCAATTATATTAAGAATTCTCTGTTAGGAATGACTGAGAATCTGCCATTCTACCTGATTACAGGGCATTGTAAAATAAGACTCAGCAGATATAGTAAGAATAATTGAATCTAAAAAATTAAAATACTCAGTAGGAATCTGTTTTCCTTAGGAAATCCATTTCAGAATTCAGAATTTCAGAAGGCACAGCATGGAATTTCAGGTTGCAACTTGCATATACTTTGTTGGCTGAGTTGACACTTTGAAAGACTAAATCACCCTTAATTTGTACATTGCTTTTCCACAAAGTCCTTCTGGGCAAATCACAGTGCAGTGTGTTAAATAGAGATTATCCAAAATCCCTATTTTGGAAACAAGAAAAACTCACATGATAGATTTGTGGCCTCTAT